TTTGATGCTGTTGAAGAGTGCCACTCTCACTGAATCTCTTTCCACACACTGAGCATTCAAAAGGTTTCTCCTGTGTGTGGGTTCTCTGATGCTGTTGAAGATGGGCATTCCGACTGAATCTCTTTCCACACTCTGAGCACTCAAAAGGTTTCTCCCCTGTGTGGGTTCTTTGATGCCGTTGAAGAGTGCCACTCTCACTGAATCTCTTTCCACACTCTGAGCACTCAAAAGGTTTCTCCCCTGTGTGGGTTCTCTGATGCTGTTGAAGATGGGCATTCCGACTGAATCTCTTTCCACACTGTGAGCATTCAAAAGGTTTCTCCCCCGTGTGGGTTCTTTGGTGCAGCTGAAGATGGCCACTCTGACTGAATCTCTTTCCACACTCTGAGCATTCAAAAGGTTTCTCCCCTGTGTGGGTTCTTTGATGCCGTTGAAGAGTGCCACTCTCACTGAATCTCTTTCCACACTCTGAGCATTCAAAAGGTTTCTCCTGTGTGTGGGTTCTCTGATGCTGTTGAAGATGGGCATTCCGACTGAATCTCTTTCCACACTGTGAGCATTCAAAAGGTTTCTCCCCGGTGTGGGTTCTTTGATGCTTCTGAAGAGTACCACTCTCACTGAATCTCTTTCCACACTCTGAGCATTCAAAAGGTTTCTCCTGTGTGTGGGTTCTCTGATGCTGTTGAAGATGGGCATTCCGACTGAATCTCTTTCCACACTGTGAGCATTCAAAAGGTTTCTCCCCCGTGTGGGTTCTTCGGTGCATCTGAAGATGGCTACTCTGACTGAATTTCTTTCCACACTCCAAGCATTCAAAAGATTTCTCCCCTGTGTGGGTTCTTTGGTGCTTTTGAAGACTGGAATTCATACTGAATCTCTTTCCACACTCTGAACATTCAGAAAGCTTCTGTGCTGTGTTTATCCTTTGGTGTACAAGAAACTGTGTTCTGTATCTGAAGTACTTTCTACAATAAAAGCATTTACATGCCTTCATTATAATGTGGTTTGGACAAAATACATCACCCTTTCTTCCACTGGAGAACATCATTCCATTCTTAGAGCAGATTAAAGGCTTCACTCCTAAATGAGTCCATTGGTGAGGGCCGTGGACTGGGATTTCATGGAAGCCCCTTCCCTGGCAAGGAATGGACTTAACTCCTCTCTTCACTGTATGGCTTCCTTCCTGGTTCTGTGGCCCATGTGTATTTCTGATTATTCCTTCGGCTTGTTTATTCTTGTTTTTTTCCCGTGAGAACCTCTGAAATTCCCCAACTGACTCCTCGACATCTCCTGCTGGGATAAAAAGGAAGTTCCAGTCACTGGTCACAGAAGAAGCCAAGCCACCCATCAGGAACTCCTGATTCATTAGTGTGCATTTTTGTCTCCTGAGCTGCAGGTTGCAACCTTTCCCTGGCCAGCCCTCCAGTAGACCTGTTTTTGTATTCCAACTATCCCTCCCCTCTACGAAACTCCTCAAACATCCTTTAAGGGAAAAGTGGCAAAGATCTGTTCCTTCGCCCTTCCCATCTGCCTTGCCAAACAGGTCTTTTGATGACGAAATACAAAAAGTGATTTGTGATTTCTAGTCCTATGATTGTACAGAGAGCTTCCTTCCAGGTGTGATGAGAGAGAAGAGGACCTGGTCTTCAGACTCCAATAACACATGTCTGCTGGCCTAGGGTGAGAAGTCTGGACCTCACCAGGTGAACCCCACAGCTCTAAGGGAACGTCCTCGTTTTTTGGAAGGGATGCCCTTTGTTGGGGGAGGGTGTGGAGGCCTAGAACCATAGAATCATAGTGTTGGAAGGGACCTCCAGGATCATCTAGCCCAACTCCCTGCACAATGCAGGACATTCACAAATACCTCCCCCTCCAGACCCACAGTGACCGCTATTCCAAACACAGAAGATGACAATAAAACCCTCCAAGATCCCTCGCCAAACCGGCCTGGAGACATGTAGCTGACCACGGGCGTCTGACTCATCTAGAAATGCTGTTCTTAAGTAAATACCACACCTTTCCCTGGGATATCCGGTGTTTAAGCACAATGCAGCCCCTAAAGGGACTCAAGGAGCCACAACTGAGCTCAGCCCCAGGAAGAATTCCCAAGATCTCAGGCACCAAAAGGCCTCCCTCCCTCCTTACCCAGAAAGCTTCATAATTCGACCCAACCCAGAGTTCCTTAGAAGTGAAGCAGAAATCCAACATAGCTGTTCTCTGCCCCTTCCCTTGACAGAAGGATGAAGCACACTCACTTCCAGCCCGTTCACTCAGTAAGGAAATATTTTCTTGAGATCCTGTTGAGGAACTCTCCACCCCTCTGTCTGTGTCTACTGCAGTTTCTCGTACATCCGCGCCTTCTTTGGGGGAGAGAGAGAGAAAAGAGGAGGAAGAGTCACACAAGGCCTTTGCCTGTCTCCGCCTCAGTCCATGACTCCCACTCTGCCTCTCACGCAGGCTACAACACTGACCACCGTTGCCCCTGGACCAGCCAGGTGTGTCGGCTGCTTTCACTGCCACCTCGACTCCTGGAGTCCTCCCGGGGGGCCGTGATTACAGGCCCAAGCCTCAGAATGACATACTGCTGCTCAGTATTTTGATTCACACATCATCGCAATGGCAGCCATTCACACCTTTGGCAAAGATCCTTACCCAGAGAGGCCACGTTCCCATAGTTGTCCAGCATGACTTCCAGGTAGAGAGCTCTTTGGCCCGGATCCAGCAGGGCCCATTCCGCCTCGGTGAAATGCACGGCCACGTCCTCAAAGGAAGCTGGAGACTGAAAGAAAAAGCAGACTTCCTCATCAGAGATCGTGCCGAGCGAGACTGCCCTCTGGAAAGGGGCATTCTGGGATGCCCGGGATGGAGAGCGTGGCAGGGGTCAAGGGAGTGGCGCTCAGAACCTCTCTCGCTCGGACACCACAGAAGCAACGGCAGGAGCAAAAGCCCCCCTGAGAAAGAAGGGGGGACTCAGGCGGTCCCCTGCTCATCTCCCCTACCTGGACTGCAGGGGAAGAAGTCGTTTCCACTTCTCCACACAGACGACTGCTCGATACCATCTCTTCACTGTCTGTGAGGGAGAGAACATTGGAAAAATGGGGGTTAGCCTAGACTTCGTATTTTATTTGCTTGTTTGAATCCTGCTTCTTTTAAAAAATATATAAATATATTTTTGGATTTTTTTGAGGGAATACAGAATAAAGAAAAGGGGTGAGGGAAAAGAATAAAAGGTAAAATTACCACAATACAATATAAAGGGCACTTTTTGCAAATATAAAGGACAATCCCTGGTTCAAATTTGTGAATTTTTAGGAGAAATATATGACATTATAACTTGTCAAACCGCTATAACAACCTACTCAATATTCTATCATTTTCTCATAGTATATTAACAATTCTATCCTACCTTATCAATCTTATCAGTTATATGATAAAACACGGATTACCTCATAAAAATTTTATATGATTTTAACGTAACAGTTTGTTGTGATAAGAATCACGTGGAAGAAGACATCTTTAATATTTCATACTGAAACTATCATATAATATAAACCATTCAATTACATTACCACTAAGATTGGTTATAGCAATCATAGAAAACTCGCCAGTTATTTTCAAATTCGTCTTTTGGTCTCTGATTAATGAAGTTTGTCAGTTTTGCCATAACAGCATATTCTTGCATTTTGTCAATGCAATTCTCAGGAGTTGGGCAACCTTATATTTTCTGTTTGAATCCTGCTTCAAGATTTCATGTTCCTGTGGCTGTGAAACATTGCCCTGTGTAATTGCAACCCATTCCAGTATCTTTGCCGTGAAAACCCCATGGACGGAGGACAGGATGGCCTGGCGTGATGTGGTCCATGGGGTCGCAAAGAGTCGGACTCGACTGTGCGACTGAACAACAACAAAAACACTCAAAATGTATAACAATTTTGAGTAAACTTGAGAAAGAGGTGGAAGAGAACCACCAGGTTACTATCAGCTTCGGGGGGGGGGGGGTGCTACAAGCCTAGACAGCTTCAAGAGGGGATTGGATGAACATATTAGCCACAGGGTATAGGTTGAACACTCTGTCTGGGGCAGTGATGCTCTGTATTCTTGGTGCTTGCAGGGCAATAGTGGGGGGTGGTTTAGGAGTTCTGGCCCCACTGGTGGACCTCCTCATGGCCCCTGGGTTTTGGCCACTGTGTGGCACAGAGTGTTGGACTGGATGGGCCATTGGACTGATCCAAAATGGCTTCTCTGATGTTTTTATGTCCTAATGAGAATGGAATGTCCTAATGAGAATATGTATAATTCTACCTTCAACTGGTGGCTACCATGGCACCGAGTCTCAGAAGTCCACCCTGTGTGGTGTGCAAAAGTATTTCTTTTTTCTCCTCTCCTGAACCTTCTATCCAGCAACTTCACAATGAGCCCGCATCTGGGCACAAGGCACCCTTACCACGTGAGAGGGCATCCTGGGCACGCTCCGGGGCCTGCACCCACTGCTCCTCCTCCGAAGGAGATCCTTCCTCCTCAGAGAACTTTGCTTCCATCTTTACAGGTGTGCCCCACATCTGAAACAGCAGTAAGAGAGACAGGCAAGAGGAGGAATGCTAAAGACCAAGGAGGAAAATCCTGCCCCGTCCCCATCCTCACCCCTGCATCAATCAACAGAGCTGCTTCAGCCGCAGCAGCAGGATCCAGGGTTGTGGTTTTCTATCAACCCTGGTGAAGTGTCTGGAGGGATACATATGGGGGCAGGGAGACCTCAGGCTAAGGTCAGAGATCACCGCTTGAATGGACCGCATGAAGCTCCCTCACCTGCTCTGCCTGCCGCTTGTCCTCTGCCTGACTCAGGAGGAAGCCTTCTGCCAGGGCCACCGCCTGGGAACTGGTCTCCGGCCCGCATCCTCTGACCCAGCCCTGCATTTCCTCGGGTAGGATGGCCAGAAACTGCTCCAGGATCACCAGGTCCAGGATCTGCTTCTTGGAGTGCCTCTCTGGCTCCAGCCAGAGCTTGCAAAGTCCATGGAGCTGGCTGCAAACCTCCCGGGGCCCAGCGGCCTCGTGGTAGCAGAACTGCCGGAAACACTGGCGATGTTCCTCTGAGACCCTGGTGTCCTGATGCAGGGCCTCTGGCACAGCTCTTTCACAGAATCCAACACCACTCCCCACCTGGATGGGATGGGGGTCTTCCCTTGATTTCTTGCCGATTCCTGGTCCTTCTGGGTCCTGCTCTTCCATCTCCTTCCCCTTCTGTTGGGCCACCTGCAAATGCAAAAGGATCCGTTTATTTATTATTTATTTATTTCAGTTTATATCCTGCCTTGCCTGACAAGAGGCTCAAGGTGGCGTACAATGGGTTAAAAACTACAATGAAACACAGATAAAATTCCACAAACCACTCCAAACAATAATACACAAAGTGCAGATTAAGTGCAGATGGCAATCGTTGTGAGATGGTCCAGTATAACTAGACCAGTATCCCCGGTTGTTCGTAATGCTGGTAACATGTGAGCAATGATAGATCAGGGTTTTTTGTAGCTCGTTCATCAGTGGCGGCTCCTAATCGAAGGCGTGGTGGAAGAGCTCCATTTTACAGGCCCTGCGGAACTGTGGAAGGTCCCGCAGGGCCCTGATGTCCTCTGGGAGCTCATTCCACCAGTGTGGAGCCACCACTGAGAAGGCCCTAGCTCTGGTGATGGCCAATCCGACATTTTTTGGACCTGGTAGTGTCAGGTGGTTATGGGTCCCCGACCTCAGTGCTCTCTTGACATAAAGAGGGAGAGGGGGGCAGACAGGAACCTCAAAGAGATGGAGCTACAAGCCCTGCCACACCAGAGAGTGGACAAAGAGAAAATTTTCTTCCTCTCTCAAAATACTAGAACTTGAGGGCTGATGGGCAGTAGATTCAGGGCA